TCAGCAACACACAGCAAATGCTGCCTCTGCAAAGAAGCTAAAGAAACAGTAGACCAGTCTAAACATCTGGATGACTGTATGAACAATATTTTATCCCACCTTTTTATATATATAACTCAAGGTGGCAAACATACTTAATTCTCCTGCCTTCTATTTTTTCCCCCCACAACAACCCTATAATGTGGGTTGGGCTGAGAGACAGAGCAACTGGCCCAAAGTCACCCAGCAGGCTTTCATGCCTAAGGGAGGCCTAGAGCTCTCACGCTCTTGGTTTCTAGGCCAGCACCTCAACTAGCACACCAAACTGGCTCTCCAAAATGGTTGCACAAATCTAGATGACCACTAGATGACACTCAACAGATTTAGAAAAACAAACAAACCAGAACTCTTTGCTGCCAACTAGTGGTTGACAGGTCATCTGGTTGACCCCATAGTTCCAAGGATTTTTTAAAAAAATAAAATCAAATGAACAATACAACTGGGGGGCGGGGTGGGGGGACAACTGCACCACATTGAGTAACCAGTGTTGTGCTTGCCAGTTGGAGGAGGCTTTTTACATACATGTTGATAGTGGGTAGGACTAGAATTTCAGCCAAGGAAACCACTAATAACCTCTTAAAACTGTATGGACAACAGTGCAGCACAGACCTGTTCTGGGAGCAAGTTAAGGGTGTGTGTAGAACCGCAAACATAAGGGTGGCATGATTTCCTGCTGGCTCTGGAATGGAAGAGGAGCATGGCAAAGATGTACAGATGTGGCTTCAGATTTTCTCTTTCCATTTGCAAAGGAAGAAGCTGAAATTTGGCACCAAATCCTGACAATTTTATATGAGGAGCAGACTAATATGATTTAACTAGGAGGGAGAAATGAAAATGTAAATATATTAATTCTTAAACATAGCGATAAAGCTTAGGGAACTTCTAGGGAACAGGACAATGTTAACTATCACACCAGTCTATTATTGAAGCAAAGCAGATTTGGCCTGAGAACTTATGTTCCTCTGAATTTCTTTTGAGGAAGAGCAAGATGCATACCATTCTCAGTTGAAAAACAAAACAAAAACTTATTTTCTTAAAACCCATCCCCCACTCACATGGAAGATATTTTACCATCATTAAATTGATCATTACCTGTAATCTGTTTATTAATCCAATTTTATCTCAGACCTTGAGGTCTTTGTCTTCTGAACTTTGAACTTTGCTGACTCAACAAAAATGGCTTTGCCAGTATAAAAGTACCCACACTTGGGAAAAGTTCCCAAACGTATTTTTCTTCCTATGTGTGTAGGGTGGTAGAATATATTGTAAACCAGCATTTTGTCATGAATACACATTTCAATATTTATTTTTCTCCTGAACTAGTTTCAAAAATAAAGTATATGGCTTGAGGGAGATATATTAAATAGCATTAAAAACATTTGAAAGTAGGATGGACCAAAATATTTAGGTCACATGTAAAAATACATGGCAAGTCCACGATAGAATGTTTAAAGTAAGTTGAATCTGGTTTACTGCTACAATAGAAATTAATTGATAATAAAATATGTTATCTAGTAAAGTGATAATCATAAATAAAACCAGTTCTAACTTGGATTTTACTTATTTCTAAATATTATCTTTGTCTAAAAACCTGTATGTTAGAGTAGTGTATGAAGAAACATGCATCTGTTAAGCATGTATGCTTGTGTATATATGTCTGTGTATGTATGTGCATGAACATGCAGATTGCATCTGTGCAAATTTCCCCACTATATGGATTCTAAACATTAGGTGATAATTTAAGCAATAGGAGGGAAAATCAATCTTGGCTGATCTCAAAGAAGAGGGGCAGATCTGGGTATTATTTGAATGGGATGCAGCAGGAAACCTGAGTGTTATAAACTAGACTAGAAGTCAAAAATCAATCCCAGAATATGGTTATTATCTGTAAGTATAAATGTAGGAAGCATGTCTTTTGAACTGTTCAGTCATATAACTTTAATTTGAAAAAGAGTAGCAGTTGGGAGAAATATTAAATTCCACTCTCTCACTTAAATCAAAACATTCCTGTTTCTTCTTTGAAAATGACATAATTCATATGGAAAGTGTTATTAGACCTTCAATACCAGTCATATTTTAAACTAAATTAATGCTTACACCTAATTCAAATGTAATTTTCTGTAAAAGTTCTGCAAACTGTTTCAGCAATTTTAAAAGCTGAATAGCCAAACATTTCACAAATAATTCAGTGAGTATTTCTCTGTGACTGTATTCACACTGCATACTAATGTGGTTTGGTTTGGCTTAGCCTAGTATACAAACCCCAAAATTGACATTTATCTTCAGAAACCTTGGGGGAAAGACAAGGCTAGACTGAAAAGCTGTTCATTATAAGGAATGGTTCTCTACCCTACACATTGTTTTTAGTTCATTAAATGATTTTGGGTTTGCAGCCTCCTATCTGCATTATGAAAACAAGTAAAAGATAATAGGATCAGACAAAATACTATAGAATTAAAACACTAGTCAAAAGTGTTTTGCTAGAATACTTTAATTGGTGGATCAGGAAGAAAACATAAAATGAGACTGGTATCTTGTAGTATTTGTTAATATTCTCCACAAATATTATTTGAAGAGAACAAAATATCTTAACTAGGAAGAACCTGCCTTAGATGAGGGTTACACACTTAAAGGCAACATTTTTAGCCATCTTATATCTTCAGGCATTCTCTTTTGCTCAGATAATTCATAAAGATACTAGCCAGGATTGCTTTTGAACCCAGTAGACAATACAAGAAAATCTGACTGTAAAATCAATATGCATGGCAGTGTTTCTAATCTGGCATTCAACCTCCCATTTGCTAGCCCCTGTTGAAGACAAAATATACCTAGGAATTGCATGTTTTCATTAGGCAAAGAATATTCTTAAATACTTTGCCACACATAGCCCAGAAAATAAGAATGCTGAGTTTCTCAGGTTTTTTACCTGCAGAAGTGAAGGATTTGTTTATTCTGATCTGTATTCTTTTGCCTGATGTAGAATTGTGTGTAACTCAAAATGTTCGATATTTCTGTGCCAACCAAATTAATCCATTAGAGAGACTGGCATATTTAATACCTAGTACTACTACCTAGTACCTAGCAAGGGCCTAACTGCAAGTAATTTAGCACCCGTACAGCTTGATCTGCCACAGCAGAATAAATTTAGTTTTTTCTAATATTTGCAAGAAATCTATTTTGTGGATGAAAAAGAATCCAAAACCATATTTGCTTTACGGTACAATACAATTTGATTATGAACAGTATTAATTCCTAAACCATATTGTAAAAATTACACCATTTGGCTTTAATATTGAGTTAAAATAAATATATTCTCTCTCTTTCTTTTTCAGGTATGAGGTAACAAATGTGCCTGAGAGAGTTGTAAGTGGAAGAAAACAATAACAATTTAAAAACCAATGCTTTAAACAATGGGACCAGCCCACTCTGTGGATCAGTGAACAAGTCTCCATTCATGTAAATAAATTCCTCAAGCGTGTAAAGAAAATTTGATTGCAGCAGATGCCAATATCACGGCAGGGCCCCTGTACCTTTAACAGCTGCATGACAGACAAATATTCAGTAATCAAAGCTTTCTTAAACATACAAATGCAAGGAAAAAATAGCAGCTCTGGTTTCTGAAAATAATCTAGTATAATAGAGCTGGAAGAGGAGAAAGGTCCTTGCATTCTTAAAGTGTTGTCTAAAAGAACTAATGGAAAGCCTTGCTAAGGTAAAAAAAAAAAAAATCAACTGTCTGGAATTTGTCATCGTACTGGTAAGCTTACATTTTTCTATTGCTCTTTTTAGAACTCACATTTCAGCAGAAAATGATGCTAATCCATGTCCTAGAAACTGAGACATAGATACAACTCTAAAATATGAGATTGAATCTTTCTGTCACAAAAGACTTTAAAATTAGCTGAAGGATTAAAGCTATCAAGCTCTCTTTTTGTTTTTTACTTTTGTGATATCACATCCCTGTACATGTCTATACCCATAGTGTTGATTTAGATTCAGGTTTTCTTCCAAGGAGGTTTCTATTATTATTGGCTCAATTACAGCTAAGTCCATGCTCAAAAGGGTTTGATCCCAAATAAGCCTGCGTAAGATTTTAGCTTCAGAGCTTGATCTATGCATCCTTATTCAGAAATAAATACTATAAGTTAAATGAGGTTTGCTTTTATTATATAAAGGGTTAATTTCTAATAAATGTGTATAAGGAGGCAGCTTTATATAATTCAACTGGGTAGACATGTACAGATTGCATTATTATTACTGCAAGTATTTATAAAAAATACCAATTTTACCTATCCTTTTCAAATCAGTATTGTTATTGTAGTGAATATGTCTGCCTCATTCTATATTCTTGACAATCACAATGGTGAACCATGGATTAAAAAAAAGATGGAAGGTAGGTTAATTTATTAGATTGAGGATTTTTCCCAGCAGAAAGTTCAGATTATCCATTTGGTTTTACACTCTTCTTTATATTTCATATACCAAATCAGCCAAATCTGAGTCTTCCTTCACTGTTTTTCACAGCTGCAATCCTTTGGTCCATCAAAACCATATAAATTATACAGTAATAAATTGAATTATGAGTCAGATTATTTCAATTTGATTAGATTAAATGTTGGAAACACAGTATGGCCACAGTTCAATGTTACAACAAGAATATAGTAATTTTTAAAAAGTTGTTTTGTGGTTATTGCTACAGTGTAGACTTATGAAAAGATAACAAAATTTTCTAATGTAATGCTTAAAAAGCAGCACCAAGCAGTAGCTACTGGTCACAAATGATCCAGGCAGCTCACATTTTTTAATTCAAGTGCATCAGCACACCACCAACTTACAGAACTCTTTTTTAAATATAGGAATACATGGATAACACACTCAGGCCTCTTTACCCCATTTTTAAAACCTATCCAAAAGACAATACAGAAAAAAGAAAAAAAGAACAGTCCACCTCTTGTGTTTATCCTCACACTCAACTGAAATGACAGGGGACACAGGTTACTTCCCTCCAAACACAAAAAATTACTCCAGGAAGTAGCCTTGCCTCATTTGTTCACTGATTTCATATATTTTGCTGATCTTGGTAATAACCACACACAACAGACCATAAATGCCTTGGTAAGTTTGTTGTAAGGCTGAGAAATAGTTTCCCAGAAGTGGTTCAAAGAGCCATCCATAAGCAATACGTATCGAAGCTGTATTTTTTAATGCACATTTCCCCTCAATCACAGCATTTTTCCCATCGAGCAATAATTCTTAAGTCTAGTTCTTCATGCACACATCACCATGTAGTAAGATCCTGAGATGCCAGCACAAATCTTAATCCAAATGGAACAGGGACCTGCCCTGTCATATCAAGCTTTATGATTTTTCTCTCTGTGTAGTTTCTCCCATTATATAGACTTTTTTTAAAATAGGAAGTGTCCAGAGAACAAGGGGAGCCTCTTGTATATTAGTAGTTCACTCAGATAGAAGCAGCTGATAGGATGAGGTTGTTTGCCTCCCTTCTAGTCCTGCTAGAATGTTACAAAGAGGCCTTCTTTCACACTGGCTCACGACGCCTGGGAGCAGGAAGGAAGTGATATGCTGGCATGCACCGATCTGACCAGCATCCCAAGTGATAGCCAGCACAATATTATCATCTGGTCTTGTAAAAGATAAGCATATTGAAGGACTCTATGATACTATAGAAAATAATATAAATGCAGGCATCTGTCTGCTGCTTTTTAACTGATACATCAAGCCAGCAAGTCAAACTGTGATCTAATGGGATACAATTCTTTCTTGTCTATCGTTTCCTTTTCTGCTTTAAGGATTTTCTGCGCTTGAGGATCATCTCATAGAGTTTGTCCATACCTTCAGTGAGCCCCTCACCAATGATCGCACAGGCTGGTTGGATATGGTAAGTGGTGGATGGAGTTAGCTCATGCAGAGCCAGCTGTTTTTCTATTTCTGCCACAGGCAAAGATTTTGGCAGGTCTTGCTTGTTGGCAATCACTAACAAGGGAGTGCCTTGATTCTCTGCAAACTTGGTGACTTTGTGTAGTTCTGTCTTGGCTTCTTCCAGCCTGTCCACGTCAACAGAGTCCACCACATAAATGATTCCATCAGTGCAACGACTATAGGACTTCCACAGGGGCCTCAGTTTCTCTTGCCCACCAACATCCCAAAAATGGCAGCTGATGCCTTTAGCAGTCCCATTGCTTAGCTTGATCTTTTCAGTGTTGAAGCCAATGGTGGGCACCGTGTTGACAAACTCGTTGAATTTGAGCCTATAGAGCACCGTGGTTTTGCCTGCAGAATCCAGACCCAGCATGACAATGTGCAGGGACTGGAAAGCAGAGATATTGGAGGAAATGTTACCCATGGTGTTGATGGGTGACTCAGCAGCAGAAAAATCTTCGTTGATTCCGTTTAAGCTCCTTTCCTTGTAGTGGCTATAAGATCCCGACTGGGGTGCGATTTAAAATGCACACTCACCCGCAGAAGCCATCCCAGATACGCCGCGGAGAACAGGAGCAATCCGGATCTTGCGAGAGAGCGCGAGCGAGACAGCGGAGTGGGTGGGGGGAACAAACGGAGGTCAGCTGAAGCAGCCCGCAATCGCCTGGAATCAGGATCGAGCAGCAAAGGCAACTTCGAGGTGTGGTCAGGTTGTACAGAGCCGCAGAACAAAGCTGGATCTCCATGCAAATCGTTTCTATTTTTCGCCTGGCTAGAAAAAGAGCCGGGGGTTTTCCTGGATCAGCTGCTCAGACGAGCTGGTCGAGAGGGGAACTGCCTTCTTCCCTGCAGACTCATTCATTTTTCAGGCGGGAAGTGGCGCCCTCGGTTTCGGCCCACCTTCTGGGTGAGGGAGGCTCCCTTCCGCTGTGTTCTGCCTGGGAGGAAGCCCCAATCGGACCTCCCCCAAACAGCTTCCAACGCAGCAACTGCAGTTCAATCCATCAAAGCCCTGCGAAGCGGGCAGGGGAAGGAGAAGGGAGGAGCTTTAAAAGGGCAACGATGCAGCTTGGGGGGCCTTCTTTTTTCGAGTCCCGTTCCCTCCTCCTCGCCCTGTTTCTTCTAGCCCTCTTCCGCTCCATCAACCTTTGCTTCCTTTAAAATGGTCTTTGGATGGCTTCTTTTCCAGGTGCGAAGTTCGGTGAGAGCGTCGCTTGTTTGGGAGCTTTTGGTCTGGAAAGGGGTCGCCTGGGCCTGGGCCGTACCACTTCAGACTACGGGGGAAGTCACAATTTCTAAGACTCCATATCATATAGAAATACAATTCTGCCTGTAAAAAATGCCAGTGTGTAAAATGCTAGGGTAAAATATTTCCGTCATAGGTACGTGAGTTCAAAAGCACTGAGTGAAGCGTGAAATCCCATGCAGTCTGATCGGAAATAATACACTACCCACAGCGTTGGGTCGTCGGGAAGGGTGAAAATGTATAGGTGATTGCATGACTTCTCTCCCGATCTGTTCTAAAGGGTCTCAGCGTGGCTCACCTGAAGCAGGAGGGCCCAACGACGCCGAGGCTGTCTCCATCCTGTAAGAAAGAACAGCCGCCCGCCCCCATTGTTCGGCCGTTCTGGGCGGCTCCCGCCTATCCTCACCTTCGCCAGGGCTAGTAATGGCTGATCCCCACCGGGACATCCAGGCTTACTCAGACATCCTGCTCTCAGCCGATTCTCCCGCACGGAAAGATAAAATGGAGCGAAGAATTATTCCAGCTGATGAATAATTGAGCTGCTAGTAATATGGGTGAAATAGTCATCCAATATTTCTTTTCCCCTTCAGGAGCTCAGGACAGCAAAGATACCCGGTCAGTCAATCCACCCTGTGAACTTTTGCGGCCGTGCCTTTCCTGAGGAAAGGGCTAACCACCAACTTTCATATGGATGTAAAGCATGCACCGTGTGTCCTGGAGAGGGGGAGAGGGTGGGGATGACAGATACTAGAATGGAGAGGAAATTTAGTCTTTTCTTGCTGCATTTCTGAGGAAAATCTGACTGCTGAAGTGGTTATTTATCTGACTGACCCCGCAAAAAATCAGTACTGAGGGATAATTGACTCCAGCTATTCCCCAGATATACATTCACATGGATGAAATAGTTCTGCAGGCACTTATAATTATGGCCTACCCTGCAAGTACTGTGTGTTTGTAGCAAGTAGGAAAAATGCTTTTTGTGACCCTGGTGTCACACTGTCTCACTCTGGTCACAGTCTTGATTCAATTACTGACTCACCTGAGTGAGTCACACAGGAATGAGTCCCTGGTTCTGTGCACACTGGATGGAGTCCCAAATATGGCTCACCTGTGTTTTCTTCAGTCTTGAGCAAGGCCTGAGTGCTGCTCTCATGAAGATTTCACATGGGTTTATCTAGGAGGGCTGTGCAAAGTATTTGAAAGAGGTGCTTCAGAAGTTGCTTGTGTGTGGAGATAGCCAGGAACTGTTTCCAAAACAATGGAAGCATTGTGAACATGTCATGAGATCCAAGAATTTGAACACAAAGGTCCAGTCAGGAACATTTGTGTAAGAATACAAGGTAGGGAAACAGCAATGGTTTGGGTGAGCTGTAGACTACCAAGCCAGGCAGAAGATTTGAATAATGGCCATCTGGACTAGATTATAGAACTTTCAGAGAAATACAGTAATAATCAGCAATATCAAACTTAAATGAGAAAACAGACTTAACCAAGACTGCAAGGTCCCCAAAGTTCCTCAGTGGTCTTGCTGATTATTTCATTTTCCATAAAGTTGAAGAAGACGCAAGGGGACTGGCTCTCATATATCTGATCCTAATCAATACAGAAAAGCTGACTGAAGAGTTAAAAGCAGTAAGAATTTTTTGAGGAAACACCATGCCATCTTGGTGGCACTACACTACAAGGAAACTAAAGGAAAATTGGAGCATAGTTGTACACTAGATTTCAAAACAGCCAAATTGTTTCCATACTGGGTAGAATTCCATAGTTAGAAATCTTCAGGTCCAAGGAACCACAGGAGAGTGGAAAACTCAAAAATAAGATACTGGAAGTAAATGGAACATACTATTCCAATGAGAAGGGAAAATGAAAGAGTTTCCTGTGGAAGCATAGGAACTTTCAATCAGCTAAGAGTTAAAAGGGAAATGGATAGGAAATAGAAGATGGGTATAATTACAAAGGAGGTATACCAGCAAGTACTGAATATTTGCAGGAAGAAAGTCAGAAGGAAGAAAGTGCAAAAGGAATGGGGAAAAGGAAAGCTAAAAGTTTGACCACCTCTGTATTAGATCCATACCCCTCCTAGCTGGTCAAGGCTGTCCAGGAAGGGGCATGTGATTGGGTTTAGGTGGTGGTTAGTTCTTCCTTTGGGTGGTTCTGCTGGCTCTTAAGGAGGTGGTGGTGCATCCCTGCTCAGGGGCCATTGCTCGACCCAACCAGTCTGGACAGCTTTCATCCAGTTTCCAACCTTCCCTAAAGGGAAGATAGTGGAGTAGGTGGTTGCACTGCAGCTTCAATGGACTTTGGATGAAACGGATTATCTAGACCCCTTTCAGTTGGGATTCAGGCCAGTATGGGATGGAGATGGCATTGGTCACACTCATGGATGAACTCTGGTGGGAGCAGGATGGAGGTAGTACATCCTTGTTCTTGACTTCTCAGTGGCTTTCGATACCATTGACCTTCTCGATCAACTCCAGGAGTTGGGGGTGAATGGCATGGTGTTGTGTTGGTTATCCTCCTTCCTCTGAGACCAGTTCCATTTGGTGTTGATGGTGGGGAGAGACATCCAGTCTGCAGCCCCTACTTTGGGGGTGCCACAGGGCTTGGTCTTTTCTCCCCTCCTGTTTAACATGTACATGAGGCTACTAGGTGAGGTCATCTGACAATTCGGGGCGAGGTATCACCAATATGTTGATATACACAGCTCTATATATCTCCACCCCAGGGCTATTGAGTGATGCCATGGACGTCCTGTTCCAGTGTCTGGAGGCTGTGGGGGCCTAGATGGGGTGCAACAGGCTTTGGCTCAACTCAGGCAAGACTAAGTGGCTTTGGGTATTTAGACTTTCTGGTGTAAATGGCTCCAGTTATTTGGTGCATGTAACACCACTATTCCGTGAACTGCATTGGTTGCCAGTGTGCTTCTGGGTGTAATTCAAGGTGCTGGTTGTCACCATTAAAGCCCTTCATGGCTTAGGACTGGGTTACTTGAAGGACTGTCTCTCCCCAGTTGTTTCTACCCATCTAATCCAGTCAGGCATAATGGTATGCTTCAGGTCCCATCAGCCCAAAGAATGCTGGTTGCCAGGGCCTGGAAGACGTGCCTCTTCTGCCATAGCATCCACCTTGTGGAACATTCTCCCTGTGGAGATCAGGATGGCCCCCGATCCTGCTAGCCTTTTGTAAGGCCCTAAAAACCTGGTTCTGTGGCCGTGCCTGGGGCCCGGAGTGTGTGCAGGAACTTGCTTCTTGGCTGTATTAGTGATTTGAGTTTGATGTTTCTCAGCTGCTTTGAATTTTAATTTATGTAATGCTTCTAATTGTTTTTATTTTATTTTAATTCTGTTCGCCACCCGGTATCACTTGTTGCCATATAAATTGAATGAATGAATGAATGAATGAATGTATTTTATTTATTTATTGTTAATGAATCTAACAAAAAGGGCTCTCTGTCTCTGTCAGGAGTAAGAGAGAGAAAAAGGAAGAACGGGGCCTGCTGCTTGGAGAAAATGGTAAGAATGGTACCAGGAGAGAGCAAGAGGACATACCTCATTTACTCCAACTTTGCTTTGATATTCTCCCCCAAAGGGAAACCATATCCAAATGGACCTAAGCAAAACCTGTTGACACAAAGAGGGAGTGTTGATCCAAGGTAAACAAAAGTCTCCAGGGTCAAATCAGTTATTTCCAGTAGTTACCTACTGCAGGTGTCACCTTGGACCCTCTTTCTGTTATCTTTGAGAAATGAAGAATTGGCATAGTGCCAGAGGTTTGAGAAAGGACAAATATAGGTAGTCCTCGGTTTATGATGGCAATTGGAACTGGAATTGCTATCGTTAAGCGAGGACCTCATGTGACTGCAACTTCCAGCTCCCTGTTGGCTTCCCCATTGACTTTGCTTGTGGGAAGCTGGCAGGGAAGGTCGTAAATCATAATCATGTGACTGTAGCTTGCTGCAATGTTGTAACTGTGCATCAAGTGCCTGGATCACAGTCACATGACTGCTGGGATGCTGCAACAGCCGGAACTTTGAGGGCTGGTTGAAAGTTTGAATGGTTGCTGAACGAGTGGTCATAACTCAAGGATCACCTGTATTCTTGTCTTCAAAAAAGGCTAAATAGCACTGGTAGCTACAGAACAATCAGCTTGTGGTCAGTGCCAGACATCAATGATAGAGGAACTGGTTATAATAGAAATTTGATATTAATTATTATACATATACACATATAATCGATAGATGAAAAT